AAACCAGCTTAGAGGTGCATCAATACTGCCCCCTAGTGAGGAGCTGGAGCAGAAAACAAAGAAAAAAGCCCCTCTGTCTATTAATCGTGTTCTTATCACAAATTTCAACAGTTGGCCATAAATTTGGCAAAAATTACTGAGAGTCTGGTATAATAATTGTCTTTGTTTGGAATTGTGCAGTTTCACACAACAGTGTCATAAAGATGTGGTGAAAGCCAAATTAGCCAGCAGGTGTCACTGTTGAGAAGGTGTCAGATTTTTGAGAAACTTTGATGCAATTCCAACAGAAATGCTTCAAATGTTTTAGTGATTCATGAAGCCTGGCTTTGCCCATCAAATGTCCCAAGATGCTGTGATTTTGTAAAACCAACAGAGTCTGTGCCTTGAAGTGAGTGTTTTATTTATTAATTTATTTATTTAGTTAATTCATTGAATGCCGCTGTCGAAGTCAAAAGACAAGACAGGAGATGGATTTCTGCTGGCAGTGTCACTTTTTCTCTGATGTGATTTTAGTCCAGTCTTTTTCTCTCACTCATTAGATGAGAGACTGCTGGCCAGTATGACAGTAATTATTAAAATAAATGATAATGATAAAAAATAAAGGAAGACTGTACTTAATTTCACTTTGGATTTTGCTGTTTAAATAAGTAGCAAAAGTTAACAATGATAGATCAGGTGCTGTTTTATTGATTTATACATGTGTGCATATGTCTGCTTTTAATACATAGAAATGATATGATGTTTAAAAACAAACTTTTATATCAGTCTGGCGTTTCCAAAGTCAGAATCCTGGCACTGCACTTGTCCTGCATTAATCTAGAAAGCCAGTGAGATAAGCTATAACTAAGTAAGTACTATTCCATTCAATATGTGGAATGACATTTCCAGATGTTCCAGGACTAGATGTTTTCCCTGATTTTTCTCAAGGATGCCACTCACAGGCTCACCTGTGTAAATCTGTAGATTTGAGGAATAGCTGTTTTTTGCATCACAAGCTGCCATGATTTATTTATCAGATTTGCCTGGATTGCTGGCCGTGTATTACCAGAAGGAGCATTTTCCATGGAAATGGACTACGCTGTCACCTCTGAAGATCAGAGCTAAGAGCTTGGAACGGGTGGACTCTTTTTACATCTTTAATATATTCTGCAGGCTTATTGGGCAGTGACGTAAAAAGACAGTAATTGAAGGACTGTTGAAACCTTTATGTATAGGTTTATAGGAAAACCTTTTATTTACAGGTTTTCAGCTGAGTGTATAGGTGGTGGTCGTGGTCGGTGTGTTTAAGTTCTAGTCGTACTTGTCTTCTTTCTTATCTGCGCCTCATCACTACGGTGTTGGTCTACAATAAAAAAGCACAGAAAGATCTATATCAAAATTCTATAAACTCATCTAAGTTGTATAATTTTCATGTTAGCAATTATAAATGATACTGTTGCTCACCTGCTGCTTCCTGGTTCCGATATTGTGAAATATCGGGGAAAATGATGCCCTGGGGCCCACAAACAGTTTACTGGTTTCTTAGAGGAGGAGGAGGAGGAGGTAAGGTATGAGTAGAAAGTGTGGGAATTTCATTTATCTTTATAGGATTATTGTTGGTTATTGTTTTTAATGTGTGGATGTTGGAAATGTTTGAGCATATTACAGGTATTTTATAGATATTTGTTATGTAGTATTTTGTTTAATCCTGAGTGTAAACTGCAGAATGCTTTAATCCAATTAACGAATCCCAGAGACTATCAGTGTATTCGGATTTGTACACTACAGAGACAAGAACATGGGAATCCACGTATTCTTCATCAGTCTCATTCCAAATGTCGCCATCAACTTCTTTTCTTTCAAGATTTGTCACAGCAATGATGTCGTTCTTGACAATGGCATAAAAAGACACTTATTCTTGTCACAGCAAACCTGGTGAGCCCAGGTTAATGCCCTGCCATGTGAGCCAGGAGGTGCTGCACTTTTGGATTTGTATATTTCAGCAGAAGCAGCTTCAGCACCTGTGACCTCCTCATCAGATGTGTCTGTGTTGATGCTCTCTATCATCCTCCTCGTCAGAAACTGGCTCATTCATATTGCAATGCTGTTTTCTGTATTTTCCTTCAGCAAACATATGATCCACAGCTTGGCTTATTGTAAATCTTCACATATTTGCGTTCTGCAGATCTGCAACTCACCAAGTAAACTGAGTTGTTCTGCACATGCCGTACATGACTATGTTGATCTGTACTTGTAAGTTCGAGTCACTGTCCCAGAAAGTAAGAACTTTCTGTTGGAAAATATCAACTTTTTCACTTCTCCTAGGTTTTAATTCAAATAAAAACCTGTTAAAAATATATATATTGTTTTTGAATCAACAGAAAGGTGCTCCGAGTAGGTGCTCAGAGGAAGAGGGCGGGCTTTACTTGGTGTCAGAGACAGAAATGAAAAAAGCTCAAATGAGTGAGAAGGACGATGAAGGAAACATCTGTGCTGTGTCTGCTCTGTAAGTAGAATCTCTGTGTTTGTTTGAATTCTTGTACTTTGACTGTCTGCTCTCCTGATAACTGATGATGGAGGAGAAGACATGATTTGCTCTGTAGGACTAAGGGTGTACATGCAGGTCTACCCTGGGTTTTCTGTACCACGAAGGCGGTTCCCTTCTTACTGGGGTGAGTCGCCATTGTAACTTGTGCTGTAGGGCAGGTTGTCATCCAGATGAAAGATCAAGAAACAGCTTTTTAATCGATCGATTTAATTTCCTTTGGGGACAAACTGCAGAGATTTCCACGTCTCCTTTGTCAGGCTGTGGGACAGAAAGCGTTAGTGTTTAAAGTTTCAGAGCTCTAATGTTCAGCTGTCACCCTAATAATACACACTTCTTTTGCCTTACATCTTTCTGTGTAAGCAAATGTCTCCATCCAAGGTTGGGTCGGGTCACTTATGTGAGACGTGTCCCCATGCAGTCCTCCACAATCCTGACTGCGTGGTGCTAGAAGTGGATGTTGACTGGTTGATAAGTGGGCAAGGATAGCACAAGGTGGTGATTTCATACCTGCGGATTTCTAATCGGCTCCAGAATAGGTTATGTTCACAGCACAAGTTACCATGGTGATATTATGGTAGTCTTTACCTTATTATAGCCTTATAAAGCCCACTGATGCAATTGTTGTTATGATTTGGTACTATACACACTGGAAGTGTGTTTGGGGTCAGGACTACAGGTTAGGAGAGTTTGAGGACTTGACTTTAACTCTGCTTTGTTTGTCAGCTTGACAGAATGAAGGGAGACTGACACTGATGTTTATTTTTAGTATCTGAAAAGAAAATAATAATAATCTTACTCTTAATATAAATAAAGCTTAAATGACTAATAAAACTGTGTGTATGTCTGTCTTTTTCTCAGTGTTTGTTTTGCCATTTCGGTTGCTTCCTTGTACTTTTACTTTAAGATGAATCATTTCAATTAACCTCAATAATTATAATAAATTCTTACAGGTGGTCCAATGTTTCTGGATTACTCACAGCCTCCTCTGTCTGCATAAAAACAATGCTGGAACATTGGTGTACCATGGCCTCGTGAGCATCAGGGGAACAGCATTGTCCTTGTTGCTACAGAAAATGGTGAGAAAAAGTAATTAACAATGGAGGAGAGACAGACCATCATAACACTTAGATATAGGTCTTGTAGTCTGATAAATTATAATCTGAAATCTCCGGTTCATCACACAGGATCTGTGTACGCCATCGAGTAGGCGAAAGAATGGTTACACAGCATTCTGCAGCGCCATGCTGTACCCTCTGGTAAGCTTGAAAACATGGAGTGGTCAGCACGGTCTCCAGACTTAAATCCCATCAAGCTGGTTTGGGATCAACTGGACCGAAGAGTGAAAGCAAAGCAACCTACAAGTGTCAAACATTGTAGAAAGAACACCATGGCTGTGTTCAGCTGTTATATCTGCCAAAGGTGGCTACTTTGATGAGAAGTTGAGAATACATTTTGGTCTTTAAATTGATTCTATGAACTCCAATTGCCTATTTGTACTATGCTTTCATTTCAGAGTACAATGAGACATTAAACTGGATAATTTCCAATAAGCTCTGATGAAGCTGGATTGACTGAAGTTATTGATTGTGCCATGTTTCCATATGTTCAGTAACTTTACTGTTATTTGTATTTTGTTTCTAAGTGTGCTGTCGTCTCCACAGCAGTGATCTGGTTTCTCTGCAGTTTCAATAAACTTTGGTCTCACTTGATCTTCTTGTGTGCTTCTGTTTGTTTCACAAAGATGTCTGATGGACAACCTGAGTTGTTGTGATGAACCTAAAACACTTCAGTTTTCTTCAAAGCAGATAAAGTTCATGTGAGCCACAGACAGCAGGAACAATTTCACACATGAATCTTAGTTACTGTGAAGTTTGATGTCTGTTGACAGCAGAGCTGATTTGATTGTAACTCATTTAATGGACAAAATAAATTTCAGGTACAGCTGCACTCAGCTTTTTCTGTATCTACACGATGGATCATTGTTCATTATAAAAAATATGATGTGAAAATTTAACCCTGTTTTAGAAAATGTTTAACAACAGTTTGCTTGAAGGGGGGAAAAAAACACAGGATGCAACTTTGCAAAGAGACTTTGACTTTGTTATAATCTATTCTAACTCTTATTTTAATAGATGCATATCAAGATTTGGTGATATGAGGGAAACTCCATTAATAAACAGTCATGTACAGTGTGTTGGAGTTTCTGCATACTGATGAAACTGTCTTTAAAAGAAAACTGACAATAATTGCATCACAGACACATCTGATTGTGTTAAAGCTCCCTGTGGTGGAGGGCTATTAAACTGCCACAAAATGTCCATACTGGCCATACTGTGGATTTAGTTATGATGTTATACACTCAGTGGCCATTTTATTAGGAACACCTGTCTATTATCAAGTTGAACTCTCCTTTTGCCTTTTGAAATGCTTCAGCACTTCATGTCATAGACTTAAAAAAATATACTGGAAACATTTCTCAGAGGTTCAGGCACTAAATACCAGAGGTGAACAGGACTAAGAGGACAGGGAGGGCACAAACGAGAACACACTGACATAAGATACAGACTTTCAAAATAAAACAGGAACTGCACAGGCAGAGAACAGGGAGCACAGAACCGCAATCATAAGAACATAAAAGTCTGAACCCAAATACATAATCAGACTAGAACACAAGATCATAAGAAACACTTAAAGCTGAGTCAGAATCTATCTATACACACATATATAAATGTATGTATGTGTGTGTGTGTGTGTTACACCAGTGGTGTAACAAAAAACCAAACTACAAATCAAAACAAAAGCTTTGTTTGTCAGCTTGACAGAATGAAGGCAGACTGACAAGTTTATTATATTTTATTTTTATATATTAAAAATAATCTTAGTATACATAAATCTTAAATGACTATTACATTGATTGTGTCTGTTTTTCACAGTTACTGTGAGTCTTTTTCTCCGTGTTTATTGTGTCATTTCGGTTGCTTCATTGTACTTTTACTTTACGATAAATTTTTTTCAATTAAGCGCATTCATTATAATCA